GCTGCCTTATCGCGCCGGGCAGAACGAACAGCGTGGGGCCTGACACGGGCCCACCCCATGGCCACCGCGGGGCGGCCGGCTTTTTTCCTGACCATCTTTGAGCCTGAGATCAGACACAGGGAAAGATTAAAACAAATATGAATTTAATCAAGGGCTTCTGCTGTCCTGGGGTGAAACAGGAGCCCGCTGACACACAGAGGCCGGAGCGCTGGGGAGCCAGAGCCGAATCAAAGCCGCCTGCCTCCCGCTAACCGCTCGGATGATCCTATCACCACAACAAGAAAGGAAAACAATTATTTATTCTTTTTGATGTTGCAGCTCAGCAGCGACTTGCTTTCTGAAGAGCAAGGTCAAAACCAAGTTATTGTTTCTGCCTGAAACTTTGACGGGGACGCGGAGTTCTTCCGTGTGACCTACTTCCGTGCGAGGTGCGGGCGGTGGGAGAGGCTGCTGGGCCGTGGGTGGTACTTTCTCCCGCCTCCGCCTCTCATCCCTCTTCCCCGCTTCCCGTGAAAGACCCGAGGGCGAAGTCGTGGGGAACACAGGCTGCGAGCAGTGTCTGTCCCGGGGGAGACCAGGAGCCGAGTTCTCTGGAGTGACACCCCTACACCCCCAGGCGTGAGGCTCAAGGCCCAGGATACACCCACGAACACCTCAGCAGACCTACTATTTTCACGCACGTGGGCCCAACCTGCAATGTCCAGCCCCAGTGTGTCTTCCTCTGCTACCCAGAGCCCTGACCAGAAGGCCAGTGAGTTCCCTCCCCCTCCCCGCCCCCCTGTCCCCGGCCCTCAGGGGCAGCCTGAGCCAATGATGGTTGGGGCGTTGGTGGGCAGGTGCCCCAGGCCCTCCTCCTCGAAGGGGTGACTCAGGGGCATCTGTTCTACACACTCCCAGCCGTCCCCAGCGGCGTTGGGCTCTGGTGGCTCACGGTGACACTGGCTTGATTTTGCACGTTTTGCCAGCGCCTTCCTCCTCTGCGCAGCTTGCAGTCCCATGGCTCACACCGGCTCACGGGAGCCCGGCCCGCACATCCTTGTCCAGCTCTTCACCCAGCTGTGGCATGCCGGGAGCTGGAAACCAACCACGTGGGAGCATTTACACCAGTGCAATTGGCAGACGCTACCACCCAGGGATTATTTATTTATTTATTTCAGAAAACCAGTTCACCTTCACATCACTGCTCATTGTCCGGCTCCCTCCTTGGCGTGTCTTGGCATCACCTCCCAAAGGAACTTGTACACAAGCCCTCACTCAGGGTCGGCTCCTGGAGAAACAAAAATTCACACAGCAGCTCCCGAGTCTGGAGACCGAGAGCAGTCAGCTCGCTCACAAGAGACGGGAGGCCCTGTTCCAGGCTTGTCCTCTGCTGCCAGCCCTCCGTCCTACCGCCTCCCCCCGCCCCCAACCACCACACACACGCGTGCGCACACACACACACACACACACGCACACCCTGCACAGCCCCGTCTGTCCCCAACCCTCCCCACACCCTCCGGGGACACCCACGGCTTACACTCACCAGCACCCTCTCTACTCCCGCTGGCGGTGCCGCCTGGCCCCCTCAGGGAGGTGCGAAGGGGTCTGAGTGGTCCCCCCGCTCCCCCTCCTGCACATCTAACCCTTCCCCACCGGGAGCGAGTTTTTCTCACTGAAGGCGCAAAGCTGAGGACGGCGGCCCTTGGACCGGGTCCGAGCCCTGTGACCTGCTGTGGGCGGGCAACGAGGCAGAAGTGACAGGGCGCCCAGTCTGGGCCCGGGCCTGGCGAGGGCGTCACTGTTTCTTATGTGACGTGGCACCCAGGCGCTGTGCTGGGGGGCGGGGGGGGTCCAGCCCCCGTGTGCCTTCCTCGGCAACCAGAGCCCTGACCAGTGGGCGTCACAGGACGAGCTGTAGGCTCCGCACCCCTGACTCCCCCAGCATAGGGCTGATCTCTGAAAACGAGAGCACGTGCGGGGGGTGCGGGGGGTACGGGGGGGTGGAATGGCCGGTCGGTAAACCCCTCCCCAGCTCCCAAGAGACAGACCTTCAAACCTAAAAGGAGGCGAGTGGACGGGAAGGGAACCCAGGGCACAGCCGCCTCCTTCGCGGGGAGGGGCCTCCGCGCTGGTGGAAGGGGGGAGGGATGAGCTGGGGGGAGACGGAGAACAGACAGTCGTCTGTATGAGCCGAGCGGGCGGATACACTCCACCCCGGGCACCTAAGATCCATAATTTCTTCAGCTTTTCCATTTTTAAAGAGAATTCTAGCTGTTCAAGTCCCACACGGCTCCCGTCGGAGGCTGCAGCCGGTGCTGGCTGGTCCCACCTCCTCGCCCTCTCCCCGGCCCGGCGCCTCGGGCATGTG